AGCGGTATTAGTACGGTAGTAGTAGTAGCAACAACAGCGGTAGCAGTGGTACGAGTGGTAGTAGCGGCTGCAGCAGAAGTAGTAGTGGTACGGTGGTAGTAGCAGTGGCAGTAGAAAAGTGGTGCGGTGGTGGTGGTATCGGTAATAGTGGTAGTGGCTGCGGCAGCTGCGGTAGAAGTAATAGTGGTAGGTAGTGGTACGGTACGGTAGTGGTAGTAGTAGTGGTACGAGTAGTGGTAACAGCAGCAGTGGTAGTGAGTACGATTAGTAGTAGCAGCAGTAGTAGTGGTACGGTGGTGAGTAGCAGCTGCGGCAGCGGCAATGGTGGTACGGTAGTAGTAGCAGCGGTAGTAGTAGTGAGTAGTAGCGGCGGCGGTAGTAGTAGTGAAGCACGGATGGTAGTAGCCAGCAGCAGTGAGTAGTAGTGGTAGTACGAATGGTGGTAGCAGCAACAGTAGTAGTACGAGGTAGTGGTAGTATCAGTAGTAGTTGCAGCTGCAGTAGAGAGTTCTAGTAGTAGTAGTAGTAGTACAGTAGTAGTGGTGAGTAGTACAGTGGTAGTAGCAGCAACAGTGGTAGTAGTAGTGGTGCAGGTAGATAGTGGCAGCGGCGGTAGTGGTGGTGGTACAGTGGTAGTAGCAGCTGCGGTAGTAGGTAGTGCAGTGGTGGTAGTAGTAATTAACTAGTGGCGGCAGTAGCAAGTGAGTAGTGGTACTTGTGGTAGTGGCAGCAGTAGTGAGTAGTGGTGCTTGTGGTGAGTAGCAGCAGTAGTAGTAGTAGAAGTGGTGATGGTGGAGTGGTAGTGCAGCAGCAGTAGTGAGTAGTACGAAGTGGTAGTAGTAGCAGTGGTAGTGAGTAGTGCGAACAGTGGTGAGTAAATGTACGAGTGGTGGTAGTGGCAGCAGCGGTAGTGATGAGTGGCGGCGGAAGCGGTAGTAATTTACAGTGGTGGTAGTGAGTGTAGTGGTAGTGGCGGCACCGGTGGTGGTAGTAGTAGTAGTAGTGGTACAGTGTAGTGGTAGTGGTGCGAGTGGTAGTGAAGTGAAGTGAGTAGCAGCAGCAGCAGTGAAGTGAGTGCAGTGGCGGTGGCAGCAGCAGTGGTAGTGCTAGTGGTGGTTACGGTGGTTGTGGTAGTAGTAGTGGCAGCAGCAGTAGCAGTGTGCAGTAGTGGTAGTGGCATTTCTGCAGCGAGTGGTGGTGGTGAGTGGTGCAGTGGTGAGTGGCGGTGGTAGTGGTGGTAGTGGTGAGTGGTAGTAGTGGTTGTGGTACGATTAGTGGTGGCGGCAGTAGTAGTAGTAGTGAGTACGAGTGAAGTAGCAGCAGTGGTAGTAGTAGTAGTGGTACGATTAGTAGTAGCAGCAGTGGTAGTAGGTACAGTGAAGTAGTAGCATTAGTAGGTACGATTAGTAGTAGCAGCATTAGTAGTAGTAGTAGTAGTAGTAGTGAGTAGCGAGTGGTAGTAGTAGCAACAGTGAGTAGTAGTAGTGGGACGAGTGGTAGCAGCAGTAGTAGTAGTATTAGTTAGTAGTGCGGTGAGTAGTGAGTAGTAGTAATAGTAGCAGCAGTAGTGGTGGCTAGTGGTAGTAGTGGTAGTGGTAAGTACATGGTAGCAGTGGTAGTGGATTGTAGTAGCGATAGTAGCAGTAGTAGTAGTAGTACGATTAGTTAGCGGCAGTAGTAGTAGTAGTAGTAGTGGTACGGTAGTGGCAGCAGTAGTGAAGTAGTAGTGCGGTGAGTAGTAGCAGCGGTAGTGGTAGTAGTAGTGAGTAGTACGGTGGTGGCAGCAATAGTAGTAGTAGTACGAGTGAGTAGTGGCAGCAGCAGTGGTAGTGCGTTAATGGTAGTAGCAGCAGTGGTGGTAGTGGTACGGTGGTAGTGGTAGTAGTGGTACAGTGGTAGTAGCAGCAGTAGTGAGTAGTGGTGCGGTGGTAGTGGCAGCAGGCGGTGGTAGTAGTGATACGTGCAGTGGTAGCAGCAGTAGTAGTAGTGAGTGGTACGGTGGTAGTGGCAGCAGTGAGTAGTAGTGGTGCAGTAGTGCAGTGGTAGTAGCAACAGTGGTAGTAGTAGTGGTAGTGTGGTACGTAGTGGTAGCGAGCAGTGGTAGTAGTGAGTAGTGCAGTGGTGGTGCGCAGTGAGTAGTGGTAGTAGTGTAGCAATTGCAGTGGTGAGTAGCAACTGCGGCAACAGCAGTAGTGGTTACAGAGTGAGTATCAGCAGTGAGTAGTAGTACAATGAAGTAACAGCAGTAGTAGTAGTTACGATTAGTAGTAGCAGCAGTAGTAGTGAGTAGTTACGATTAGTAGTAGCAGCTGCAGCGCAGCAGCAGTGGTAATGGTAGTAGTAGCAGCAGTAGTAGTGCAGTGGTAGTAGTAGTAGTAGCAGCAGCAGTAGTAGTAGTGCGGTGGTAGTAGTGGTAGCACGAATAGTGAGTTAGCAGCAGCAGCAGTGGTAGTACAGTAGTAGTGGTATCAGTAGTGGTTGTAGTAGCAGTAGCTGCGGTGAAGTCAGTAGTGAGTAGTGGTAGCAGTGAGTTAGTAGTAGTAGCAGTAGTAGTAATGAGCAACAGTAGCAACGGTAGTAGTAGTGCAGTAGTGGTAGTAGTAGTAGCAGCAAGCGTGGTAGTAGTAGTGCGAATAGTAGTAGCAGCAGCGGTAGTAGTAGTAGTGCACGAGCAGTAGTAGTAGTAATGAGTGGTAGCAGCAGCAGTAGTAGTAGTACGAGGAGCTGAGTGGTAGCAGCGTTAGTAGCAGAAGTTACGAGCTAGCAAAGCTTCTCTACGAGCGAAGGGTGGCGACTTTTCAGCGATAACGTGATCGCAGACCGCCGACCATGCATACCTTTGTCAACGGTAGGAAAGCAGCAACATTTTCTGTTGCAGAGTATCAACAGGAAAGGTGGTATGATGAGGAAACACATATCGGTGTTGAGAGGATCTCAGATAAACCATTTAGTAGGGATGATTCATGTCCCAACTGTGTGGAAGTGGTGCAATAAAATACACACATAAATGAGTTGGCATTGCGTACAGACACCGATCATTGAAGGAGGAGTCAGTTAAATTCATATTAGAATGTCGAAATACCTGTATTTGCAAAGTGCTAATATAAGTTGTTCACTGGTAACGAGGGGACATAAACAAACATAGAGGGTGCATCAACCCATAGTCCCCGAGGGACCAGTGAACAACGTTTTTATATTACAGAACACCTCAATGTTAATTTTGAATTGTTTGAAGCACGAGTATTGGATCATAATAAGGAGCTCGACACTCCCAACACGAAGTACCAAACAAATTCAAGAATATCTCTTTGCATATATATAGTATTTTGCCGCGATGATAATCAGATTTTAATACAAAAGATGATATGTTTTGCATCCAGAATTAATCTTGTGCCTGTATCTTGTTCAATCAAGGCTTTCAGTTGTTGCCACAACGTTTCTCACGTACACACTCACAAAATATGTGGATAATTGATTCGATTGTAACATTACAAAATGTACTAGAAGCAGATTGTGTCAGTTTATAGTTAATATATCCTTGTTTGTTGTAATGATTCTTTGGACAATTTTATATTGAAGCCATCTTAATTGTGTATTACAAGTTGTTCTGAGGGGTACATAGTTATAAACCTTCCAGAGTTGTTCTGATATATGTACGTTGATATCCCTTTCCCATTTAAGTTGACTATTTAGCTTTTCTTTTAATGTATCTTTCCTTAACAAGACAGAGTAGAAAATCTTGCATCCTTTACGTTTTTTGTCTTACTAGGAATAAATGGCTCCTCTACTTTACACAGAGTTAGTTGTTTCGAAAGTAAGTATGATTTGATGGAGTTGATGACACGAGTGAGAATAAGGAGGGCATGCCAATTGATAGAAGCGTCTCTAAAATGGTCGCAGTCCTGTGTGAACAGTTTCCGAATCACCAATGCCTGTGTTGGTCTCCGTGGTAGAAGGACATAATGTCTGCCCGGATTGGGTTGTCGCAGGTTCCATCCCCAGCCGTTTTAGACTGACTGACTGAGTTTGGTTTTACGCCGCTTTTAGCAATATTCCAGCAACATCACGGCGGGGGACACCAGAAATGGGCTTCACACAATGTACCCATGTGGGGATTCGAACCCGGGTCTTCGGCGTGACGAGCCAACGCTTTAACCACTAGGCTACCCCACCGCCCCCCGTTTTAGAATAAAAGACAACAAAACTGGCATTGGTGAGTTGCAATAAGAGAGCATGTACCTGGCAAGGATCTAGGTTAGATTTAGTTTGGTTGTTGTTTAATGCCGCACTCAGCAATATTCCAGTTATATGGAATCGGTCTCTAAATAATGAGTCGGGACCAGACAATACAGTGATCAACAGCATGAACATCGATCTTCTCAATTGGGATACGATGACATGTGTCAACCAAGCGGGTCGATCCAGGTAAGAACTGGTCTTCAGCAACCTATGTTTGTCCTAAGAGACAACGAACGGCATCGGATTAATGCATGCTAACGTATCCCAATTACGCAGATCGATGCTCATGCTGTTGACCACTGGGTTGTCTGATCGGTTGTTCGGTTACTTACTGACCTGGAATATTGCTGAGTGTGGCAATATACAACTACTATTGCTTAGATTGCACCTTTGACGTACTTCCGGGTCAATGGCGGTCCTCTGCATCAGGCAACGAATCATACGTTGAATGCAAGTAGGTCTTGACGTTGGTGAGTAAAAACAATAACACACTGAACTGAATTTCACATGAAATGTATTACCACATAAATATATACATTAAGGCAATGATTATACATCATGCCATCGTTTGTATGTACAACATAGCACTAGAGCGACAGGTTTCTAACCGCTTCTTCATATGTAGTGGTGGATGTCCCAGTCCACGCAGGCCAGGAAACCTCTGAGCGTCGACAACCCGTTACACTGTTAATCCAGAATTCGTTAACCCACCAGCAAGGTCTCAGCTAGTCTGGTTTCAGTCCTTATCGACACGCCCCTCCTCACGCAATAGGGGTGAAGGTCAGCTGGGGTCCTGGGAAACTGTAGGAGGGGAGGTAACTCTCACTGTGGTCGTGTTCACTGAGAGGGGTTGGAGGGCTTGAGTACGTTGGGCTCTGCTGGGGATAGGACGCCGTCTGGGGATACGAAATGTCGTTCAGATGCGGAAGTAACAAAGGACTGTGGGTGTAACCGGAAGCACCGATCCTCTCATTGTGCGATGGGTAGGAGGCTGTCATCTGATGGAACATGGGTGACGTCATGAAGTAACTGTTGTCACAACCGGATACAGCTGCTGGGTAGTTCATCCCATAATAGTTCAAACTGAAACAAAAGCAATGTCTTATGGACACCGTAGCACAAACATTATCCTCGTAGTGAGTTATACAACACGAGTTGTATTTGACAATGTACAGAAGCCATGTAGTCACGAGAGTTCAAGACAAGCTTCCGCAATTTTCGGAAATAACAATAATAATTTACCTAACAACGACGTTCGTGACACTGGTCTGACTATATTTGGTGGAATCTCCATTTACATTTTCATCTAGGGCAAGTGCACCCATAATATATTAATGCCAGCGTTAATATGTTTCAGTATTTCCAGCATTGAAATGGTCAACGGAGAGGTCATCTAAAAAGAATTTCACGCCATGGCAGAAACCTGAAGCCAAAGAAAAAAAACACGTGTTCATATTGAAAGCATTTGGTTATTAGAAATAATGCCACAAGAATGCAACCAGACGCTCGCCATAGCTCTCTGCTCACATCGCACAGCCATTGAACTATTGCTTACTTTGATTTGGGTGCCTCTGGTGTTGCGTTGTGGGGGACTGGTGGAGACAACACGTGACATTTATCCGACTGATTGTTGACGTCATGTGACGACTGCGACCCCTGGTGGTACAACTGTCGCCTCATCCAGTTCACGTGACTTCCCTTCGCCTGACGCTTGAACTTAGACCGACGGTTTTGGAACCAGATCTGACAGGAAAAGAAGAAAAAGAAAATTTGAATAAAAGCAAAAATATCAACTCGTGAACATACAATAACATTTGTATCCTTTTTGTATCCGATCTTGTGGATTGGGTGAATCTTGAAGTGGTACAGCTCATACTCATAACGAATATATCCGGTGAAATATGGACAGCGAAACACTGGACTAGGGAAACGAATACCTCTTTTCGTACTTCCTTGTCTTACATTTCTAACATATTAAAGCATATAATTTAGGTTTGGTCTGTGTTCCTGTTATCAAACACTATCTTTGCTGTATGTTTCATAGCAAGTGTACTCACCGACAGTCGTTCCGTGTTGATACTGAGGGTGTTGGAGAGCTCCTCCAGGGTGCAGCTGTCAGGGTACTGGCTGGACATGAAGACCCTCTCTAACTGATGAAGCTGTCAACATAAGTCACAATAGCCATAAACAGACTGTACAGCTGACAAACGTGTTTTTTAAACGAACTAAAATCACTAGAAGCGCCCGTACAATACCTTCCCCTATTGAGATTCTACCGACCAAATTATTGTATAGATACGTCGTGGGCGGAAAAGTTATATATACTCTGTTGCACCTGATTCAAAGTAATTACAAAATCACCAGGCATAAAACTCACCTGGCCAGCAGTGTACTTGATCCTATTGCGGGGCTGCACGCGCTTGTTATCGGACTTGCTTGGCCTCGGCTCGGGGGTCTTTACCTTCATGATGTTTGTTATAGGAATCTGGAAAGAATTAATAGAAAGAAAATTTAATGACCGGATTTAATTACACCATTTGCGCAGATATTTGCATACGTGTTTGTATTTGGTATCTTTCTTCATTTAAGTTGAATGTAAATAAAATGTCACCACATAGGACTGCATCAAGCTATGAAGAGTCCCGGTGAAGAAAACGTATGCGAACTGTATTTCACAAAAAAACCCATTATAAGCGTTTTAACAATTAAACATGCAAAAATAGTTTGTGGGCACTTTATTATAAATAAGCAAGGGCAGAAGAGCGAGCTGCAGAGTTTCCACGTCATGTCTTTGCCATTTATCGAAACTGTTTTCTAAACGGATTTTATAATGAACCCGTGTAAACTAAATGTTGTTCAGCGAAGATATTTGTTCACACCAGTACACGAATTTATATCGGAATGTTGTTCTTTCAATATAAAGATGTTTTCTAAATGAAAGTAGGTCTGCTTTTTTGTCAGCTTCTGCGAGACAGTTTACCTGTGTTGGTTTGCGTTATCAGTACACATACCTTCTGTCAATATGCTCAGTCCTCGGTCACCAACGTATGATAATATTCTTCTGTAATAGATGCAGAAATATACAAGTCGTCTCTCAAAGTGTGAACTGTTTCCTGGTCGAAGATTTATGGGCGAATGATATTGTAGATCTTAACATCGTCTTTATATACCTGGACACAAACTTTCGGTTTCTTCTGATGTTTTCCGTTATGCAAGCGCATTTTTTAGATCTCGGGAGTGTTTTTACATCAATCATGGACGCTTTGTGTTCTAATACGAACAACTGGTATTTTCTGAGCAGCCATACTGCTGGACAGGGCTGGGAAATGTTTACACGGAAATCAGACATGCACGTTATGTTTATTTACCTAAAAAGCAGCCATTGTTTACCTAAAGTGGCCAATCAAGGTAGCGCGTGGAACCGGTAGCTTGACTGAAATGACCGACCTGGTCAAGAAGGCCACGCTGAAGCCTGTGAAAACTGACCGCTACTTCTGAAGTGCCGACTATTCTGTAATATGCACGGAGTAATTGTTTTACAAACAAACATTCAACGAGGTAAGACAATCGTCTACCTTAAACACGAAGCCTACTGTTGTTTTGATAGAGGTGTGTAGTTTCACATTCGTTGGATTTTGTTATTTTATCCGAAACCATCAATATATTGATATATTTTGTTGAATATCTATAAGTATATTATTTGGGTATTTTGCCTGCAGTATCTGGTCAGTTCATCATGCGTGTTGATTTAAAAATTCCACACCTTTGAGTCATGATAGACCACATTCAATTTTTGTAGTCATATATAACACAATACGATTTTATTACATTCCTATATTATACATATACAAAATCATAAAAAATCCAATTGTTCATGCCGACTTATACTTTTATACAATAATATGTACATATACTACGCTCTCTCTCTCTCACACACACACACGCGCGCGCGCACACACACACTCACACGCAACGCAAGAGTATATCTACAGAACGTATCAATTCACACGAGCACAATGTATTGTAGCACTAGAAACACTTCAAATTTCTGTTTCGTTTCATCAGTGCGTGATTGAAATATGTTGGGTGACACATTAAGGTGTAATGTTGGGTGACACATGAATCGTCAAACACAATTAAAAACGAACTAAAACAACACAGATTATTAGCAATGTCCATCTTTTATTCACAAAAGAGGCAAACCATACACTGTATTCTAAGACTCAGCTGAAATGACCTAAATACACCTATAAGTTTCAGCACTTTATTGTCAGTGAACTACCGCTGGTGTCGTTATTACGAAGATCATTATCATTATCGGTTTTATTGTAAAAGTATGTATATATCAGATCAAACTGTTTCTTCTATATAAAAGGTTATGATCATAAAACGGTGTTATTTGGAAATATAACTCTAGTGTCTGAAACAAGCATTGAAACTGTTTATAGAATCTGTTTTTTGAATATGTCTGTCTGTTTTTAATATTTGACTCCAATAAAACACTTTAAAACCTTTAAAGTTTATTAGACATGTTTTAATTTACATATAGTATTGGACAGGTTTATACATTTACAAAATTCATTTGGCATGTTTATACATTTACATGAATTATTTGACATTTTTCTACGTTTACATGTATAGACATATACGTGTGTATATATATTTGATGTTGGACCCTTTATCACCCCCTGTGTTGTGATATGCTGTATAAATATTCTTATGTCGAAGGGGTCATTAAACAGACATCGCACCTACCAATCCGATTTGATAAAGATAATATACTGTTCAAGCAATTTGATGAAGTTATTGTATAGACAGTTTACACGCCGTGAAATATAGATCTCTGAATATCTGAAAAAGGTAATTAGTGAGTGAATGAGGTTAGTTTTACGCCGCACTCAGCAATATTCCAGCTATATGGCGATGGTCTGTAAATAATGGAGTCTGGACCAGACAATCCAGTGATCAACAGCATGAACATCGATCTACGCAATTGGGAACCGATGACATGTGTCAACCAAGTCAGCGAGCCTGACCATCCGATCCCGTTAGTCGCCTTTATGACCTCTTACGAAGATCAATTCTATGGGATCTTCACGGGTATAAGGTACTGAAGATCAGTTCTAACACGGACCTTCAAATGGGACGTCGAATAAATATTAATATAATGTATCTGTTGAAAATGAAATTTGTAAATGATTGCATTTATTTATCTGGTTTCGTTTTGGAAGCTACACTGATATTCTAACTCATCACTAACTTAACACTTGTTTTGTTTGGGAATATATTCATGGCATATAACTCATCACTACCATATTGCTATATTCAGTATTGCTGAGTGCTGGGTGTTTAAAACAACAAACAAACTTTACAAACTGGCAGATGATCACATAAAATCTACACATACAGACACAGTTCAGCTGTGTGCAGTAGTAAGATGTTTGTGCGTAACGGTGTGTGTGTGTGTGTGTGTGTGTGTGTGTGTGTGTGTAACAGCATCTTTGAACAGATTTGGTCAGTCGATTTGTTGTTTAACGCCTCGCCTAGCGATATCGAATTTTGACAGGTGGTTCCAGTGGTTTACTTCACGAACATCGATCTACTCAGCATCAAGAGTTATACAGCTTAAGGGGCGGTGTTGTATTCAGAATGAAGACTGTTGTTCGGGGTTTTGCTTTTATACTGGCCAGTGTGTTGCATCTACTCGGAGTAAATCCAAAACATATGTCATTCGTGAATAAATTTAAACGAGTAAACGAGATTCACACATGATTTTGGCGATGTCTGTCATGTAAATAAACACTCAGACAAAATACCGTTATATTTTACGGTTTGATATGTAGAGGCCAAAGATGTCCCCAACCTGTAGAAAATGAGTGAGTGAGTATGGATTTATGCAGAGTTTTGCTATATACTACAGTGATGCGATGTTTTATTCACGTACATGAGTGAGTGAGTGAGTTTAATTTTACGCCGTACTCAGCAATATTCCAGCTATATGGCGGCGGTCTGTAAATAATGGAGTCTGGACCAGACACTCCAGTGATCGACAGCATGAGCATTGATCTGCGCAATTGGGAACCGATGACATGTGTCAACCAAGCCAGCGAGTCTGACCACCCGATCCCGTTAGTCGCCTCTTACGACAAGCATAGTCGCCTTTTGTGGCAAGCATGGGTTGCTGAAGACCTATTCTACCCCGGATCTTCACGGGTTTCACGTACATGGATCACCGGCCCGTGATACAGGTAGAGAGCGTGATAACGACTTAACTTCTTTGAGAGGCATTTAGTTGGAACAGTAAGGAACTAGCAATATATGGATGAAAAAACTTCTTTATTGCTGTGAGAGGAACGTTTCGGTGTAGGTTCTAACGCCGTTATCAAGCAAGTGATGAACAGAATGAGGATAGAGGAGCATATATACAAGTTAGAGGAAATGTTTGTACCTTACAGTGGGGATTAGGAAGCCGGTCACAATAACAACACGTGGCCTTTGATTAAAGCGTTAACAAGTGAAGCCTGTAGTATATACAAGGGGATAGTGAAGCCTGTAGTATACATTAATATACGATGAGGGGATTATCGACGATGAGGATCTTTGATGAGTTGGTAGTATGCAGGAGGTAATAACCTTGGTCACGGTTGATTGATGGCTGGAGTATTTTGATGTAGATAGCTTCTTGGAGTTTCCTGAGTTTAAAGTCTTTGACGTTGGTTGTTAGGGGTTTGGCTCTGTCCCACTGGATACTGTGATTGGGACTGTCTTGGATGTGATCTGATAAAACTGACTTGGAGTTAAGTTTTCATACTGAGGTCTGATGTTCTTTGATTCGGGTTTTGAGGGGTCTTGATATGTTTCGCCTACATACGCCTGTCCACAACAGTTCCCAGTGGTTGTTGTTTCGGGCTGGTTGGTGGTTTGCTAGTCGCTTTGATGGTGTTAAGGATGATGTTGTTTCTCTTAAAAACACATCTATATTGGCCTGTTGTTTTAAGAGTCTCTGGACTTCGTGTCTGACAATCCCGTAGTACGGGAGGCGGATTGCAGATCGTTGACGGGTGGATTTCTCTGTTTTGTTGTTGAAGTTCTGTATGGTTTGTCACGTTGTTCGGGGTAGTTGTTGTACTGTGTGAAGATCTAGACTTTTTTTATTTTTTTTATTTTATTTTTTTAGTTATTTTATTTTTTAAGAAACCAAAGTCTTCCATCATAATCAGCGGTCATTACATAATGACATATACAAATACATGAACATAATCAGATACCCAACATACCAGGATGTAACATAGTTAGACCAGTGAAGTATCAGCCTGTATAGGGTGTTGTATGTGGTACCACATCCAACATATCATGTTTTATATAGCGCAACATGCAGCATACAGTGTTGTATATTGCGTCATATCAGACATATAATATTGTATATAGGGCCACATCTGATCTTTCCTGTTGTATATTGCGTCACATCCAACATATGGTATTGTATATAGCGGCACCTTCGACATATGATGCTGTATATAGCACAACAACAAGCATACAATGTTGTATATTGCGCCATATCAGACATATCGTATTGTATATGGGGTCATCCGACACATGTTGTACATACGCAACATCCGAGATATCATGTATATATTGCGTCATATCCGACATATTATAAAGTTATTGGCCATGTTGTATTACATCATATATGACATGTCATATTGTTTAAAGCACCACATCTGACATATATCCTTGTATATTGCATCACATCCCTTGTATCTCATTGAGTCACATCTGATCCATATTGTATAATGCGATATCATGAAACACAAGAAAGTGGTCTGTAACATATGTTATTGGGATTACACTTTTTAGTAAAGTACAGATTCTAGTACTTTGGGGAGGTTGTGTTGAGTCCATCCGGTATTCGAACCCACACCCTCAGAGTCAGGGCACCTAACAGGTCCTTAACACCATCATATAGGTCTTATCTAACATATGTTGTATATTGTGCACCTGACATATCATTCTGGTCCTTAACATCATGTGTATATATTGCGCCCTACTTATTGCGTTGTATATGTTCCTATATAATAAATGTTCCAATGTTACATCAGTGCACCTACAAATATGTTAACTAATTAATCAATACATAAAGATCAAGATTTTACAAAAGCGGTTGTTGCATACACAGGTCAGGTTTGAAATACTGGGAATAATGGATGCCATTTTTTTGCAAATTTCTTCATTTCATTCTTTCTTTTGGCAATGAAGCTTTCCACAGAAAAATATCTTTTAAAGTCTTTTATAAAGTTATTGAATTTTGGAATGTTGTTTTTCAAAGAAGAGACATGAATATGTCTTTTGCTGAAATGATTATATGATTAAGGAAATGGATTTTACTTAAGGAACCAAAATGCACCAAAAAGTTTGTCAAATTAACTTTTGTATGAAATGGGTGTTAATCCAAATTTGAAGATCATCCCAAAACTTCTTAGTTTCACAACATTCCCAGTAAACATGGCACAAGTTTTCATCCTCATCTTTACAAAAGCTGCATGAGGCACTTTGGATAAGGTTCATTTTTAACAGTTCCTTTTGGTATGGATAATACCATGTAAAATTTAAATTAGAATTGTAAAGAGTTTTACATCATTAATGTCTTGTCTGTAAGATCCAACAGTATCATCCAACACTTTCTCCCATTTATGACACATATGAGGGTTATTATTATTAAACAGCAATATATCATAAAATAATCTTGATCCCTGTAATGATTTCAAAAAATTCTTTTGATAAGAATTTAGCTTCAAGTAATAGTTATGTATATATTTGTGGATTTGTTATTGTATTTTCCATGATTCAGGTAAAATATTTAGAACATATATATGATCTAGTTCTGTCCTTTTATTGAATATTTACTTTTCAAAGATTCCAAAGACATCAAACCTTCTTCATCACACATGTCTTTGATGGTTAATAGTCCTTTATATGCCCAATGTCTGATATAATGATTTTTGTTTTAAAATTTCATCATTGTTACTTTCTTCTATGGTTATGTTAGTACAATACATATTCCATGCTTTAAAACATCTTTCAATATGGATTATGAATATCAGCAATATTATACAAATTAGCACCAAATTTCATGATATCATGTAAAGGAAAATTGCATGGATTGCATATTGATGATTTTCTTAAATAAAGTCTCAAAGTGGATAGTTTCAAGGCATTGATATAGGTATTTATGTCAATCATTCTTAAACCCCCATGTATATAATCTTTTTTCAAAGTACTTCTCTTAATTTTTGTCTTTGTTTTTTTCTTTGTATTGATGATCCATAAATCCTTCAGTTCGGCGTTAAATATAATTCCCACAACATCAAATTCATTTTTTCGCCATTCAATATTCAAATCCTGACATAATAGTTTATCTCCACAGCCTGTTTTTGAACCAATCCAGATTGCTTTAGTCTTATCAATATTTATTTTTAGTCCTGACATCTTATAGAAGCTATTAATTGTATCAACAGCGGAATAAAGACATTTTCTGCACCATCTAAAAACAACTCAGCATCATCTGCATATTGTCCTAATTTTAACTGCGTATCATCAATTACTATACCTTTGATATTTTCATTTTGTCTTATCATGCATCCAAGGATTTCAGCTACAAAAAGGAAAAGATACGGTGATAACGGATCCCCTTGTCTACATCCCCATTCATTTGAAAAGAATTCTGAGAGATGTCCATTTTGAATAACACAAGAAGTTGTATTATAGGTTAGGATATTTATCCAGTTAATAATTTGGGGACCAAAACCAAACTTTTTTAATACCAAATTGATAAAATCTTTAGAGACAGTATCAAATGCCTTTTCAAAATCGATCAAAATTAATAAACCTGGGATGTCTCTTCTTTTTGTCTCAAACATAATGTCATACAGTAATCTTGTGTTTTCGCTTATATTTCTACCAGGTATAAATCCAGTCTGATTTTCATGAATCAGAGAGTACAAGATTGTTTTTAAACGATTAGAAATACAAGTGCTTACTATTTTATACAGTGAATTCAATAAAGTTATTGGTCTCCAGTTTTTTAAAAGGGTTCTGTTTTTATTTAGCTTGGTTATACATGTAATGACACCTCTTTTCATTGTAAAGACATTTGATTCTTATTAAAAATATCTTTAATAAATCTATAGATCAATATTTAAGGTCTTTCCAGACATATTTAAAGAAATCTATTGGAAATCCATCTACTCCAGGACTTTTGTTATTTTTCATATTTTTAACAGCCAATGTTATTTCTTCCATGTCCATATCTTTTTCTAATTTGTTTCTAAGATGGTCACTTAAAGTGGGTGTTACCACATCCTGTAAACAAGTATCATCCTCATATTTCCCGCCAGAAGAGTAAAGTTTTTTTGTAAAATGTTTTTACTTCATTTAAGATAGAATAGCTGTCAGCAATTTCATCATTGTTATCCGTGACAATCTTATTAATTGATTTGCTGACATAATTTCTATTTTCTAGGTTGCAAAAAAATTTGGTTGGTTTTGCCCCCTATTCAGACCATAAAATTCTGTTTCTGAGCTGTATACCCCTTATTTCATCTTCTTTAATTTGTTGTAGTTCAAGTTTATGTTTTGCAAGTTCAGATAATAAATTTTCCTCTATAGTTTGAAAGTCCTTTCTTATTGATTCTTCATAGCCTTTAATTTTAGTTTCTAATTCTGAGGTTTTATCAATGGTTTTCTTTTTTAGAAAGGTTGAATATAAAATTGATTTTCCTCTAAGTTTCATAAGGAAGGTTTCTAAAAATATACTATCATCAATCTTAAGTTTTATATTAAGGTCATTAGAATTTTTATCGTATACATCAATATCTGAGTATTCTTCAACTGTATCCTTTAATATGGATCTAACAAGACGATCTAGACTTGATTCAGGTGATGGAGTTCGGCGTTAAGGTGTTGCTTGGTGGAGCAGATGTTGTGGGCTCGACGTACTAGGGTGGAGATGATTCCTTTCTTGACTTGGGGCGGATGGTTGTAGGCGTAGTGAAGGTACTGGTCTGTGTGGGTTGGTTTTCGGTATACTGTAGTGCTAAGTTTATTGCTGGTGTCCTTCAGTACCAGTACATCAAGGAAGGTCAAATGACGGTTGGACTGAATACGTGGGTTTTGGGAGTTGATGTGGTCTAGTAGAGCATTAGGGTCGCTGTCGGGATGAAGCTTAAGGATGACAAAGGTATCGTCCACGTTACGGAACCAGCAGAGGGGTGTTATGGGGGATGTTTCCAGGACTTTGTCTTCTAGGTGGGTCATGAAGATCTCGGTGATTAAGGGTTATAGTGGGGAACCCATAGGGAGGCCGTGGGTTTGGTGATATATATTGTCTCGCCAGGTATAGTATTTAGTGTATCAGTATGGAGTATATCAGTATTTAGTGTATCAGTATGGAGTGTATCAGTATGGAGTGTATCAGTTAACGACTTGTTTGATAGCTGCACTGAGAACGAACATGACTAAATTATACATTAACAGTATATGGGATATAGGCAAGACAATCTCTACACGATGTTGCTAACTGGTTTTTCTTTGAAAACCTATAACAGACCACAGGTTTGCTACTTCTTTATTACCCGTGAAGGTCCGGGTTAGAATTGTTCTTCAGTAACCCATGCTTGCCATGCTTGTCGTAACAGGCGACTAACGGGATCGGGTGGTCAGACTCGCTGACTTGGTTGACACATGTCATCGGTTCCTATTTGCGCAGATCGATGCTCATGCTGTTGATCACTGGGTTGTCTGGTCCAGACTCAATTATTTACAGACCGCCGCCATATAGCTGGAATATTGCTGAGTGCGGCGTAAAACTAAACTCACTCACTCGCTACTTCTTTATTATTTCAGGAACACAACAATTCGGAGTATATCCTTGCATCTTGGATAGATTCAATAATCATTGCATTAATTGTGGTGCATCTGGAACATCTGAACTGCCGAAAAATGTAGTTTTTATTTTTGTTATGCCACATCACTGCTGGATCTCACATATACCTGTTATCTGAACGCTGAAGTGGATAATGGAGACCACCTTCGTAGTAACAAACCCAGCGTCAAGTTGAAATATTACTGATATATGATTCAAAGGGATCCTTTGGTTCAATTTGTCTGCATTAGGTGATACTTTATAATACGCCTCTATGATTTCTTTCTCTGATCCTACCCGTGACGATCCGGGTTAGAATATTGGTCTTCAGTAACCCATGCTTGTCGTAAGAGGCGACTAACAGGATCGGGTGGTCAGGCTCGCTGACTTGGTTGACACATGTCATCGGTTCCCATTTGCGCAGATCGATGCTCATGCTGTTGATCACTGGATTGTCTGGTCCAGACTCAATTATTTACAGACCACCGCCATATAGCTGGAATATTACTGAGTGCGGCGTAAAACTAAACTCACTCACTCACTCTTTCTCTGATCCGTGTGAAAAGTGAAGTGAAAAGTGAGCGAGTAAGGGTTTACGCCGCTTTTAGCAATATTCCAGCAATATCACGCCAGGTAATGCAAGAAATATGCTTCACATATTGTACCCATCTGGGGAATGGTAACAGAGCTTTCGGCGTGACGAGCTAACGCTTTAACCACTAGGCTACCTCCCAGCCCCTAAATGAGAAGAACGTGAATATTGAAATAAAATGATCAAATGTAATGGAATGTAAACTGAATATTAAGTACAATTTTCCAAAACATCAGGCGAATTTCTGCGTTTCATGTTTTATGAATCCCATTTCTCTCACTTTTGAGCTTTCTTATATTCCAACACCAATGAGCATAATGGTAAGGATAAGGAGGGTCTTATTTCGAATTTAGCTTTATAGAGCCCCGTAATAAGATCTACAACTGACTGTTGTGTTAATAACTCTATATCATTTATAACAGAATATGGTGTTATGTTTTATAAAGTTGATTAATTATTCCATACCTTTTCAGACTGTATATGTGCAATATATCATCTGTTCAGTTTAGTAAAGTTAGATAAACATCACCAAGTACAATAGGTTTGACATTAGTATCAGTCACTATTGCCTTCTATTAATCAGTCACATCCCTGTAATAAACCGCATGTATTGCTGGTAAAACATAAAATAAATGTCCTAATTTTACATGTGCCACACTGCTTTTTATATCATTATTGCCTTTTCATTAGCGGTCGATAGGCAACATAATGTCCGCTTGTAGGTAACAGAAAGCAGTTTTGCAGTTTATTAAACTATCCATACATGCGAGGCCATACATTTTGCCATTAAACAAAATGAATCTACTTTAGATTTATTTACCTGTGTGGGGAAAGCACAGGAAGTAGGGTAGGGCGCTTTTCTAAATATGATTGTAATGTCATATCATTTGAATCATATCAGGGGGTGCAACGTCATGATACTGACTGACTGACTGACTGAGTTTAGTTTTACGCCGCTTTTAGCAATATTCCAGCAATATCACGGCGGGGGACACCAGAAATGGGCTTAACACAGTGTGCCCATGTGCGGAATCGAACCCGGGTCTTTGGCGTGACGAGCCAACGCTTTAACCACTAGGCTACCCCACCGCCCCTCATGATACTGATATGCGGGGGGAGCTAAACCTCGCAAAGTTGCTTCAAGTGTCTTTTGAACCGGTGAAGATCCGGGTTAGAATTGGTCTTCAGCAATCCATGCTTGTCGCAAGAGGCGACTAATGGGATCGGGTGGTCAGGTTAGCTGACTTGGTTGACACATGACATCGTATCCAAATTGCGTAGATCGATGCTCATGCTGTTGATCACTGGATCGTCTGGTCCAGACTGGATTATTTGTGGTTTAAACATATTTTATTCCATTCAAGGAGAAAGAAAAGATTGGCAAACAAGCCCTAATTGGCTTATATTAATGCCGCTCCAAAATACATGTGAAGGTTCACATTGATGCGTAATGTTGTACATAATAGTTATAACAAGTTATCTCTGAATAATAACAATCTTGGATATCAACAATTTATCTTGGTTTTGTTTCGTGGCCAGTGGATACAAAAAGGAAAATAATAGAAACTATAAAGCCTTTTATGAATCAAATCGTTTTGATGTAATAAAGAATTGATGGACCGACCGTAGAAGACTGGATTATGTACATACTGCCGCCATATAGCTGGCATATTGCTGAGTACGGCGTTATACTATCAAATAGACTGACCTGATGGTAACATACTGTGACATTTTCATCACACTTTTATTGCTGTAAGGAGCGGTGGGGTAGCCTAGTGGTTAAAGCGTTCGTTCGTCACGCCGAAGGACCGTGTTCGATTACCTATATGGGTACAATGTGTGAAGCCCATTTCTGGTGTCCCCTGCCGTGATGTTGCTGGAAGATAGCTAATGGTGGCGTAAAACCGCTCACTCATCACTCACTCACTCACTCACTCACTCACTCACTCACTCACTCACTCACTCACTCACTCACTCACTCACTCACTCACTCACTCACTCACTCACTCACTCACTCACTCACTCACTCACTCACCATTGCTGTAAAATATGAGAGTAATGCAAAATGATGTACAAACAATGTGTTATCACATATATTTATATACTTTGTGTAAATGTCAATCAGTTTTTCCTTACAGTAGATTGACAGCCAACCCAAAACAGTTGATCCAACCCATGGCTCTTCACTCAACAACATTTCTAACATGGCAGAGTTTGCATGTAATTGGTCATGTTGCAATTGATATTGTTAAACCGTGTTGATCATATGGAGAACACATGTCTGTATGGGTAACGGATCTAAGTTGAAATTTGGAAAATCTCACTCTGAGTGTTTGGTGTGGAATTCAATCTACAGACGTATTGTTTAGTTTCGACAAAAAGAAACAAACAAACGAAGTTCAGTGATGGAACGTGTTGAATGTCATATAGGTTTAGTAGCTTGGTGCATATTTTGTAGAATTCAGCAGTTCACGCAGTGTCAATAATGCTATTGGGACCAAGGAAGATCCCGTTAATGACATTAAGCTCCCATATTTAGCATGTACTCTTTCGAACAAGTCACATTTTATACATACAACCTTTTCTGGCACTATAAGGTCACAATATCACATGGCTGTCAAGAGTGAGTGAGTGAGTTTAGTTTTACGCCGCAGTCAGCAAATCCCAGCTATATGGCGGCGGTCTGTAAATAATCGAGTCTGGACCAGACAATCCAGTGATCAACAGCATGAGCATCGATCTGCGGAATTGGGAACCGATGGCATGTGTCAACCAAGTCAGCGAGCCTGACCACCCGATCCCGTTAGTCGTCTCGTACGACAAGCATGGGTTACTGAAGGTTCATTCTAACCCAGACCTTCACGGTCATGGCTGTCAAGGAGTGTTAACAGGTACTTTTCAAGTGTATTTCCTGACATAGCCCTGACACCATGAAGAACAACAAAACCGTCGGGCTAATGCGATATTCACACATTCACGCTCGTGTGGTTATTGGTGATAAAATGACAGATTTCGCCAAAGGCATATTGACTAAAATGTATTTGAAATTTAAAATTTGATAAGCAACCATTGTTCGGTTACAACAATCTGTACGAAGGCATATATTTAGCGTCAGCTGGAACCTGCCACGCTGGATGTAATGTTAACTAATAATAATATGAACTGGTCAATAGCAGATGCTTAAGGTCGCATCGATATGGACAAATGGCATTTCATCAACGACAATACAAAACAATTTATTGAAAAAATATGAGAGCTCATAGTTAGGCATATTACACCCAATGACTAGCGGATACATGTAATTTTCTCACTCATCGTCATCTTATTTGTTCGACAAAAATGTTTGCCAAACAAATCTCTACTGTCACTAACGAATTTGCACCCTTTCTTCGTAACAGGGTGCGATATAATTATTACCAGAGCCATTGAAGATCCTTGGTGTATCAGCCTAATCCTCAGGGGGCGGTGGGGTAGCCTAGTGGTTAAAGTGTGCGCCCATCACGCTGCAGACCCGGGTTCGTTTCCCAAGGTGGGTACAATGTGTGAAGCCGATTTCTGGTGTCACTCGTCGCGATATTGCTGGAATATTGCTAAAAGCGGCGTAAAACCATAATCACTCACTAATCCTCATGTAGTGAGTGTAACTAAAAGTAGCTGACCAATCTAAACAATACAGCTGTAACCCCACGTTACGCAAGTCGTTGGAATAAAATTAGTCTGTCATACAGACCCTGAAGTAAATATCTCCAAGCAATCCCACGCTAGTCTAGAAAATGTGGCAAGTCTAGATTTCCACGAAAG